TATCTAAAACATAATGGAGAAAAAATAAATTTGATTTTTATAGTTATATTATTATATTGTTCACACTCTGCAACGGTTTAATATAGTTATTTCTGGAGAAAAGAAAATAAATTTCCAAAATGTCAGCATTTTTATTGAATGACACTTTCATTTTTTTTCATTAAATGATTCTAAAAATTAAAAGAAAAAATTAAACATCGCATACGCCTTTGGCTGAATGCAATTTTTGAAATTTTTTAGAAAGAAAAAAATTAAAATCTTAAAAATATTAACTAGAAAGAAAAAATTCAGAGCTCCTTAAGTATATGAGCCTGAAAATATTAGATTGCTCGTTAAGTATATGAGCTCGTCAAGAAAATATTAGATTGCTCGTTAAGTATATGAGCCTGAAATCGAGCTCGGTTCGTTAATGTCTCGAGTTCGAGCCTTAACGAGCCGATCTCGAGTTTTAACGAGCCAAACTATAAAAAATTATATAAAAATTCTATTTTCGAGCCTTATCGAGCCAAGCCGAGCTCGACTCATTGGCCAAACGAGCTTTAACTGAGCTCGAGCTCGGCTCGTTAAGTCCTCGAACTCGAGCCTTAACGAACCGAGCTCGAGCCAGGCTCGTTTAATTTAACGGAACTAGTCACATATCACCACTAGTGATATGTACAAAACTGATTTTAAAATGTAACTTTACAATTTTGTTGTAAATTATCTTATTATGTTGGGTGCCACCATAATGTACATCACAATAATTTTAAAAATAACCAATCAAAAAGATATAGATACTTTTAGATAGGAATGACCGGTCGATATATAATGTTGTACAGCAAAAAAATTATAATAAACAGCATTTTATTTTACTTATTTTTATTTAAATTATTGAATAATGGCCACATATATATCTACTGGAATTAGGCCCTAAGTGTTGAGGCAAACTTATGATATAATAATGCATTGGTGAAAGTCCAGCAGATATTTAAACCTTGAATATGTAGCCTTTGATTATTACAAAAGTTGGGCAAAACCTGCATGAGCTACCATTGAAGATATCAACATTCATTTGAGATTCATCTATTCATCTTCTATGAGTACAACTTGAATTTTATCGTCAACTGTTGTACAGTATAACATGGGATACATGCATACATTATAAGAAAAATGAGTATTTATATATTCATAATCATTCCGTCGAGTTTTGTAACCGTTAGATCATCATGTAACCGTCAGATATAGTTGATCTAACGGTTACAGATTCCAACGATTCCGTAACGAGACCGTAGTATTTTCCTTATATCCACTTAGACCAAACATGTATGAAACCATAAATTTAACACTATAAACATGGCTGTCTAAACACAAATTAAAAAAAAAAAAAATCAGAATAAATATACACACATATATGGAATCAATAATATTTCTTTTGTAATCCAACAAAAGGTGTAAACAATTATAAATAAAATTACCCCAATATTTAAAAAGAAAACCATAAAAAATATTGTAATTTTTTTTTTTTAATCTCGAATTCGTATGAAAATAATGAGAAGACTCGCATATCAGATAATTGAGAGTATTTTCTCTCTCATTTTCAGTTTTTAGTTTTATTGAGAGCGTTTTTTATTTTTTATTTTTTATTTTTTATTTACTAAACAATCGTTCAGTTCCAGTTAAGAAGAGTATTACAAAAATAATTAATTAAACTCAATTGTACTATTTTATTTTATTTCATAAAAAAATAAACAAGGAAACAGTAGTTTGTGACATATATAAATATGTGTCCTCTAAACGCACCAAAACACGTAAATTTAAGCTCCCCACCCCCATCCCAAAAAAAAAATGGCTTATAATCGTGCCTACACCCTTCTCCTCGCCACCATGCTCGTCCTCGCCGGTTCGGGCCCACCGACCCAGGCCCAAGATATATTGTTATCGGGCGAGCTCTGCTGCACGCCCACCGGAAACTGCCCCGGACAGGGTGTTCCTGGAGTCCTCGTTAGCCTCAACTGCACGAATACCCTCGGTGGTGGGACCATCGCAGTTAGTCAAACCAGGACAAGCATTAACGGGACGTTTAACGCTACTGTTCCTGTTTTGACCAATCTTCTTCAGGGTATGCCTGTTAATTTCACGTGCCTTGCAGGTGTTCGGCTCCCGCTCAACTCTACGCTTTGCCCCGTGCTTTCCACCACTAACGGCACGCTTGTTGCCACCGGTAACATTGTTGGGAGGGTTCCTAATGCGACATCCACTTTGATTGGGTGTATAGTCTTCCGCCGATTTATACAAGTACTCGTGTGAACTAATTGCCGTTGTTATTATAAAGTAGCCAAGATTCTTCTTCGACGTATCAAATCTCTCTAATGTATGCCATGGTGACCTAATTAATGTGTGCGAAAAAACATAATATATATGTAATATTAATTGTGTTTTTATTTGAAATTATAAAATGAAGAAGAAATAAATAAAGTTTGGTTTATATTAATGTTCGCATTTTTCTTATGTTTCTTAAGGATGGGGACGTATTTGATCATGCGTGCAAATTAATATTCTAAGTTTAAACAATTTTTAATTATTTCTACCTTAGGATCCGTACTATATATGTTTCGTTTTCATACAGATTGCTTTCAACGGTTGACATAATAGTTTGATATAATAGATGACTATATATATATAGATCCCGTTACGGGATGATTTCGTTGTCTTTTGTAGCCATACATATGTGTATAAAATCTAGTAATGTGTACATAGTAATGTGTATATATTACGGTTAAAACCACAATTCAAGTTAGACAAACAAGACCGTATTTTCTCCCTATGAAAAAAGAAATGACTATATATATATGATAAAGAAAGATTTCTCCCTATTAAAAAAGAAAATGACTACATATGATATTTTCTTATGGCTATATACAATAGATATGTATAGAAGACATTTCTTTTATATAATTAATTAGTTTATGGTGAGTGACGATTGCTGGATTATATGCTCCCAACCTCTATGGTATATTTTTCTATTTCGGGTTTTGGTGTGCATAATATCTATTTTTTTTTTTCTTTTAACTGCAATTTGAGAATTTACTTGCGTTCGATTTTGCTCTTACTTTCATTCAATTTTTTACATGCTTCCTCATTAGATCAATATATATCCAACTTGCAAGTAGAGTGTTCTAATTTTTTTTATTCTTTATTGCTAGCTATAACTTAATTCTGAACAGTCTTCTTTTGAAAGACGATCCTAGGTTAGTCTTGATGATCATACTAGGTCGAGACGAAATTTATTTTATGTATTTTTTGACTTTTGATCTTTATTATTTCAGACAATATACCGGGCTATTGGAAACCAAATTATGTGTACATGCAACTTGTACTATATAATCGATATTAATTTATTTATTCACGACAAAAAAACTCTTACATTCCAACAGAAATTTTCCGTTGGAATTCTTTATATTTTCTGTTGGAATAGCTATTCCAACGGATATTCCTACGTAAAAAAATTCGTGGGAAAAATGGCTGTTGGAATAGCTAAAATCCAACGGAAAATCCTATAGAAATAAATTTCTACAGTTATTCCAACGAAAGAAATCCGTTGGAATTCCTCAACCATCCAACATAAAACTAAGTTTGTTGGAATAATCATTGGAATTTCTAACAGAAATTTTTACCGTTAGAATTTTTCGTTGGAATTGAAATGTTTTCTTGTAGTGATTACGATCAAAAATAGTCCTTACAATTACATTATACTATTTTACTTTACTTTGTAATCAATAAATAAGACGAAAAAAAAAAAGAAAAGAAAGAAACAGTAGTTTGTGACATGTAAATATGTGACCGCGCGTCGCAACGCGTCAAATTATAATTTATATTTTCCTAGACAAACCTCTACTAACTAGTAGTAGTGGCAAGTAAGGGTCGATCCCACGAGGAGTGTGAATCAAATTGTGATATTCTTGTATTAATTGAATTTATTATGAAAGCAATAAAAAGGGGGATT